TCTGAGTAGCTGAGGTTATAGGTGCCCACAACCATGTCCAGCTAATTTTTTGTATTTTTAGTAGAGATGGAGTTTCATCATGTTGGCCAGGCTGGTCTTGAACTCCTGACCTCAGGTGATCCACCCACCTCGGCCTCCCAAAGTGCTGGGATTACAGCTGTGAACCACCACACCCAGCCTCTATTGTCCTTTTTCTAACTTCTTAAACAGTTTATTAATTTTCAGCCTTCTTTTCTCAGATTAGCATTTAAGAAGCTACAAATTTCCTTCTGTGTATGGTTTTTACTTGTGTCTCACGAGTATTGATATGTAATATTTTCATTGTCATTCAGTTCTAAGTATTTATTTAACTTATTTTTAGGGATGGGGTCTTGCTATGTTGCCCAGGCTGCAGTACAGTGGCTATTCAGAGGTACCAACATATTGCACTACAGCCTTAAACTCCTGGGCTCAAGCAATCCTCCTGCCTCAGCCTCCGGAGTAGCTGCGACTACAGGCATGCACCAATGTGCCCAGCTTCAGTTCTAAGTATTTTTAAAATGTTTCTAGTGTGATTATTTTTCTTTGATCTAGAGGCTATTTAGAAGTGTCCAGTTTTATGATAATTTAAAACTATTTTTGTTATGGCACTGTGGTCAGAGAATGTGGCCCGTATGACATCAGTTCTCTGAAATTTGTTGAGACTTGAGTTGTGGCCTTGCCCATGATTTATTTCAGTAATTGTTCTAGCTGGGCTTGAGAAGAGTATGATTGTTTTTCAATAACTGGGTGTAAGATTATATATATGATTATCAAATTCAGTTTAATTGTTTTTGATGAAATCTATAGCTCTACTACACTTTGTCTTTTGAGGTTTTTTTTTTTTTTTTTTTTTTTTTTTGAGACAGAGTCTCACTGTGTCACCCAGGCTGGAGTGCAGTGGCCTGATCTTGGCTCACTGAAACCTGTACCTCCTGGGAGGTATTTTTGTATTTTTAGTAGAGTGATTCTCGTGCTTCAGCCTCCAAAGTAGCTGGGATTACAGGCATGCACCTCCATGCCCGGCTAATTTTTGTGTTTTTTAGTAAAAATGAGGTTTCATCATGTTGGCCAGGCTTTTCTTGTGGACTCAAGTGATCCACCCATCTTGGCCTCCCGAAGTGCTGAGACTACAGGTGTGAGTCACTGTCCCTGGCCTCTTTTGAGGCAGTTATATTTCAGAGAGGCTTGTCAAAACCTCACAATGATGATTAATTTCTCAATTTCTCCATGCAATTCTATTAATTCTCGCTTTATGTAATTTTTAGATTTTTAAAATTCGTTTTGTACAAGTTTAAATTTGTTTTATCTGGTGATGAGTTAAAACTGTATCATTGTATCATATCTCTACTTCTAATAACTCCTGTCTATTTTAATCTGAAATTGACACAACTAACCACCTTTATTTTAGTTTTCGCTTAATATTTCTTTTGCTATCCTTTTGCTTTCAGCACTTTCATGTCTTCATACCTTAGATATACCTCTTAGAACCTGCAACTGGCCAGGCGCAGTGGCTCATGCCTGTAATCCCAGCACTTTGGGAGGCTGAGGCGGGCAGATCACTTGAGGTCAGAAGTTTGAGACCAGCTTGGCCAACATGGTGAAACCCCTTCTCTACTAAAAATACAAAAAACTTAGCCAGGCCTGGTGGCGGGCACCTGTAATTCCAGCTACTCAGGAGGCTGAGGCAGGGGAATCGCTTGAACCTGGGAGGCGGAGGTTGTGGTGAGCCGAGATATCACACTACTGTACTCCAGCCTGGGTGACAGAGTGAGACTTCATCTCAAAACACAAAAAACAAAAAACAAAAAAAAAAAAAAGAAAGAAAGAAAGAAAAAGAAACTGCAACTAATTGTGTTTTATACGTTTTCTTCAATCTAACAATCTCTGACTGTTAATGGCCATGATTATTGATATATTTTGGCTAGTTCCTAGGCTTTTGGCTTAATTTCTGTTAGTCCCATTTTTTCTGTTTCTTTTTTCCTCCTGTCTTTCTGTTTTTTATAGTATGTGTGTATGTGTGTGTATTAGCTTTTTTTTTTTTAATGTTTTCTCATTGCGGGAATTTCATTTCTTGGTTTTCAGTTTGGTTTTGTATTTAGCTTTTTAAATTTTTTTACTGTTGCAGTGAGCTGAGGTCATGCCATTGCACTCTAGCCTGGGTGATAGAGCGAGACTCCGTCTCAAAAAAAAAAAGAAGATTTGAAGTAAAAAACACACACTTACTCTTTCCCCAATGATTAGTTAGTTGCCCCTAGTGGTCAGTTGTCCTATCCCATTATTGAGTAATTGATCCTATCTTCTTTAATCTATATTAAATTCATTCAGATATTTGTGTTTGTTTCTGACAGATCAATTTAGTCCCATTGATCTGTTACACTTCCTCCATCAGCACCACAGCTCTGTAACTCTGTGGCTTTACAGAACATCTTCACATCTCACATGGAAAGTCCTCCCTCATCACTCAACCTTTGAAAAAGTTTCTTGGTTATCTTTGCAAGATTATTTTCTATGATGAAATGTAAAATCATTTTGTCAGTCTCCTTCCTTGCCCCCAACTCCCCTAAAAACCTTATTTGCTTTTGATTGAAACTATATTACATTTTTAAACTCAACTGGGGGAAAATGGACATCTTTTACAATATGATTATATTTTTGAATCCGGATATATGAAATATCTTACAATTTATGCAAGACTTATTTTGTGTCCCATAGTACAATTTATAAATTTTTAATAACAATGTTATTGAGATATAATTCACACACCCTGTAATTCACCCATTTTAAGTGCACAGTTCAATGGATTTTAGTATATTTAGTCATGCAACCATCATCACAGTCAACTTTTGAATATTTTATTTCCCCCCAAATAAATCCCATCCCCATTAGCATTCACTCCTCATTTTCCCCCTACCACCCCAGACTCTGGCAATACTAATCTACTCCCTGTCTCTGTGGGATTGCTGACTCTGAACATTTCTTTTCTTCTCTTTTTTTTTTTTGAGATGGAGTCTTGCTCTGTCGCCCAGGCCGGAGTGCAGTGGCCTGATCTAGGCTCACTGCAACCTCTGCCTCCCAGGTTCAAGCGATTCTCCTGCCTCAGCCTCCTGAGTAGCTGGGATTACAGGCATGCGCCACCATGCCTGGCTAAATTTTTTTTGGTATTTTTAGTAGAGACGGGGTTTCACCATGTTGATCAGGCTGGTCTTGAACTCCTGACCTTGTGATCTGCCTGTCTCAGCCTCCCAAAGTGCTGGAAGTACAGGTGTGAACCACTGTGCCCGGCCTGAACATTTCATATAAATAAAATCATATAATATGTGGTTCTCTGTAATTGGCTTCTTTCACTTAGCATAGTATTTTTAAGGTTCATTCACATTGTCGTATGTGTCAGTAATTCATTTCTCTTTATGATCAAGTAATATCCCATTGCATGGATATACTACATTGTATTTATCCATTCATCAGTTGAAGGACATGTGTGTTTTTTCACTTTTGGGCTATCATGAATAATGCTGCTACAAACATTCATGTACAAGTTTTCATATGGACATATGTTCTCATTTATCTTGGGTATATACCTAAGAGAATTGCTGGGTCATATGATAACTGTATGTTTAAACTTTTCAAGAAATTGACAGAGTATTGTCCAAAGTGACTGTGCCATTTTACATTCCCACAAGGAAATAGGCATGAGGGTTCCAAATTCCCAGCATCCTTGTCAACACTTGTTATTATCTGTTTTTCTTTTTTTTGATAGCGTATGATATTTCATGGTGGTTTGACTTGCATTTCTCTGATGGTGTTGAGCATTTTTGCACATGCTTGTTGGCTATTTGTATATTTTCTTTGGAGAAGTGTCCATTCAGATCCTTTGCTCATTTTTTAAATTTGGTATTTGTCTTTTTATTGAGTTACAGTAGTTCTTTATATGTTCTAGATTCAGATCCCTTATCATATGTATGATTTGCAGTATTTTTCTACTATTCTGTGGGCAATCTTTTCAGTTTCTTGATAGTGTCCTTGAAGAACAAAATTGTACTTTTCATGGTGTCCACTTTATTTTTTACTTATTTTTTTGAGATGGACTCTCGCTCCATCACCCAGGCTGGAGTGCAGTGGTGCGATGTTGGCTCACTGCAACCTCTGCCTCTCAGGCTCAAGCGATTCTCCCGCCTTAGCTTCCCAAGTAATTGGGACTACAGGTGTGCATGCGTCACTAGACCTGACTAATTTTTGTATTTTTAATAGAGATGAGGTTTCGCATGTCAGCCAGGCTAGTCTCAAACTCCTGACCTCATGTGATCCACCTGCCTCAGCCTCCCAAAGTGCTGGGATTATAGGCGTGAGCCACTGTGCTCGACTGATGATATCCACTTTATTTTTCTTCTTTTGTTGCTTGGACTTTTGATGTCATATCTGAGAAACTATTGACTAATCCAAGGACATGAAGATTTACACTTATGTTTTCTTCTATGAGTTTTGTAGTTTCAGCTCTTAGATTTAGGTCTTTGATCCATTTTTGAGTTAATGTTTGTATGTGGTATGTCCTGGGGACCCAATTTTACAATTTTGCATATGGATATTCAGTTGTCTCAGCACTATTTACTGGGATGAATGAGCTCATTTTCTATCTGGTCATTGCTGGTATGTAGAAAATTATTGAATTTCATCTTTTTGTGTCTCCAGCTACTTTATTGAACTCTCTTGTTAGTTCTAGATATGTCTCAGTCCATTATCTAGGGTTTCTCAGGTAGACAATCATATCACTTACAAATAATGACAAACTTGACTTTTGCTTCCCAAATTTCTGACTCTCTTTCTTCTTGCTTTGAATTTCACAACATTGTTGAAACTATTCAAGTTGTGAGCACCCTTGTTTTATAGGAATTCTTCTGTTATTAAGGACCGTAGTCTGTCCCTTCGTTTCAAGTCATCATTAGCTATCACATAGTCTGCTGGATTGAGATAGATGTCATTTATCATGTTGACAAAGTCTCCTTTTATTCCTAACCACAGAGAATTTGCATTAGGGGGCCTCTTATCAGGATAATTACAAAGCTTTTCTCCCATGTCCTATTCATGTGATGAACAACATGAATACACTTTTATAGTAATCGCTGTTTGTATAAATGAAGTGTCTTCCAGCCAGCGGGAAGATTAGCTCACATGAACAGAAAGAACTCAGGTTTCACTGCTGCATGCTCCCACCTGTGTAACAGAAAACAGATGTCACAAACTGAAAGCCAGTAGGTCATGTCTAGTTTGGCCTGTAAGGCATTTTAGAATGCTGTTTTGAATTAGTTGCCAGCATTTAACCATCAGGAGATTTCTCATATGAATTCCAATTTCTAGTTTCTCTTTTAAAATCATAAGATCTAGCCACACTAATCTTGCATTTCCACATGGCCACCGTGGGTTGGAGCTGGGCCCCAAGGGGCTCCTTTTAGCAGTCTCTTCATTTACCTCATTAGTATTCCATCATACCCTATTGTCACCATACCCTATTGTTTCCCAGATATCAGGATGAAGGCTCAGTTGCCAGTTTTTGCATTTGTGCAATTTTTTAAAGTAATGAAATAATGATATTAATGAAATATTTCTTGTAATCACATCTAGCAAATGTAGAAAAAAAAGAAAGAGGCAAAGAGGGCCATGTGCTTCTAAGAGAAAAGGGGGAAAGCATATTTCTAGGTAGAAGTAAAGAATATTGCTATATGTTTAATATGCAAAGTGTGTCTGCTGAAAGAATAAGACGTAAGGGGCTACCAGAAATGAAATCTAAGGCTATGGAAAAGCTGTGTCGGGAAAGAGAATCTTATTGCACTGGGGGGAGAAAAGGACTGACCTTTTAACAGGGTTTATTTCAGGAGGCACAGAGTATAAACAATGCTGTTACGAAATGTCAGAATATATTAAGTGAACACCATCTCACCCGTTCTATCCCTGAGTTTGACCTGCCTGGCCCTTGGGGATGTTTGAGTTTCTGATCCCTGCTCCAGGTCTTCCAGCTTCCTTCAAAGCCTCCTCAGTTACCCCTGGGTTTCCCCAGGTCTATCTTACAGTGGTGACTGTGCTGGGGTCAGTCTCCTTGTATTTCCCAAGGTAGAAGGCTTCGTGGTTTCAAAGCAACGCTTTTCCACAGGCCTACAGGGCCCAGAGCCATGGCATGTTCCTGCCCCTTTCACTTGACTTCTCGGCCCTTAATGAAAAGGTATTTTTGCTTCTTCCTGAAGCTCTTTCCCCATAAGGTTCAGATGGTTTTTCCCCCCATAAGGTTCAACCTACGAGGCTGGACTGGGATAGAGATCACACTCTCATTGGTAGCAACAGCAAGGGACTGGCTTGGGAGAGGTGTGGGTGCAAGTTGGTTCTATCTCGTTTCGCTCCTCCCCAAACATCCAATGTAAATTTTGCAATGGTGACCCATCGGTCAGACTCTACCCCTCTCCTATGGTGACATGCTGGAATTTCCACTGGAGGTCACTTCCCATCTTGCACCCCAGGGCCCACCTGTAAACACCTCTGCACAGGCCCCTGACTTTTTTAACCAGGTCAATGTACACAGTGGATTCTTGCGGGTGACCAGTCCAGTCTGCATTCCTTTGGGCTCATCCAAGATGTCAGCATTCCTTGAACAAACCCTTCTTTGTCACAGTATATTACTATTATAATTAAAGGCTGCATATAACTTGCATTTATTTTTAAAAATTATTTTATTGATTGATTTATTTTCGAGATGGAGTTTTGCTCTTTCACTCAGGCTGGAGTGAAGTGGAGCAATCTCGGGTCACTGCAACCTCCATCCCCCCGGGTTCAAGTGATTCTCCTGCCTCTCCTGCCTCCTTCCGAGTAGCTGAGATTATAGGCACCTGCCACCACATCTGGCTAATTTTTGTATTTTTAGTAGAGACAGGGTTTCACCATGTTGGCCAGACTGGTCGTGAACTCCTGACCTCAGGCAATCCACCCGCCTCAGCCTCCCAAAGTGCTAGGATTACAGGCATGAGCCACCGTGCCCAGCCAAACTTGCATTTATTCTATTTCAGATTTTATATCTGTATCATAGAGAGGAATTAACTGTAGTTTTCTTTTTGAGTTTCAGTATCAGGTTAAAACAAAATGGGAAGTTTTTCCAAAGTTTGTAAGATTGGCAACTTTTAAGTTTTGCTTTTTTAGGTCTGTATTTTGAAATAATTTTGGATTTACAAAAAAAGGCGCAAATGTAAGAGTTCCCATAAACCTTTGACCCAGCTTCCCTAAATATCGGCATTGTGTATAACATAGTATGATTCTTGAAATCAGAAAATTAACATTGATACAAAACTATTAACTAATCTACAGACCTTATTCAAATTTTGCCGATAGTCCAACTCAATGTACTTTTTCTGGCCCAGGATCCGAGCCTAAATCCCTCATTGCATTTAAGTGTTGTGTGACAATCTGTGACAGCCCTTTTGCCTTTGTTTCCTGACCTTGACACTGCTAAAGATTTTGTAGAATGTCCCTGAATTTGAGTGAGTCTGATGTTTTCCTTTTTCTTTCTTTTCTTTCTAGAGACAGGTTGTCATCTAGGCTCTGTCACCTAGGCTAGAGTGCAGCAGCATAATCACAGTTCACTGTAACCTCAACCTCCTGGGCTCATGTGATCCTCCCACCTCAGCCTTCTTAGTAGTAGGGACTACAGGCCCATGTCACTGCACTCAGCTAATATATTTATTTATTTTTGGTAGAAAGAGGTCTTGCTATGTTGCCCAGGCTGGTCTTGAACATCTGGCCCCAAGCAATTCTCCCACCTTAGCTACCCAATGTGCTGGCATCACAGGTGTGAGCAACCAACACCAAGGCCTGATGTTTTCTTTTTTTTTTTTTTCTTTTCTTTTTTCTCTGTTGCCTTGGCTGGAGTGCAGTGGCGCGTTCTCGGCTCACTGCAACCTCCGCCTCCTGGGTTCATGCCATTCTCCTGTCTCAGCCTCCTGAGTAGCTGGGACTACAGGTGCCCACCACCACGCCCGGCTAATTTTTTGTATTTTTAGTAGAGACGCGGTTTCACCGTGTTAGCCAGGATGGTCTTGATCTCCTGACCTCGTGATCCGCCTGCCTCGGCCTCCCAAAGTGCTGGGATTACAGGCGTGAGCCACCACGCCCGGCAAGGCCTGATGTTTTCCACGATGAGGTTGATGTAAGACATTTTTGGCGAGAATGCCACAGAAATGATGTGCCTGTCTCAGCATCAAATCGCGAGATGAATGTTATTGCTGTGTCTCCTTATGATAATGTTAACTTTGTTCACTTGGTTAAGGGTGTGTCCGTCCAGCTTCTTTGCTGTAAGGTTTCTATTTTCCCTTTGTGACTAGGAAGTATCTTGCTGGGCACAGTGGCGCATGCTTGTAATCCCAGCACTTTGGGAGGCCGAAGTGTGCAGATCACTTGAGGCCAGGAGTTTGAGATCAGCCTAGCCAACATGGTGAAACCCCGTCTCTACTAAAAATACAAGAATTAGCTGGGTGTGGTGGTGCACGGCTGTAGTCCCATACACTGGGTGGCTTATCAACAACAAACATTTATTTCTTACAGTGCTGGAAGCTGGGAAGTCCATGATCAACGTGCTGGCAGATTTGATGTCTGGTGAGGGCCCGTTCCTCATATGCAGCACCTCTGACTGTGTCCTCACGTGGTGCAACACATGGCAAAGGGCAGTTCCCTTAGGCCTCTTTTTTTTTTTTTTTTTTTTTGAGATGGAGTCCTGCTCTGTCGCCCAGGCTGGAGTGCAGTTGGCTCACTGCAACCTCCGCCTCCCAGGTTCAAGCGATTCCCCTACTTCAGCCTCCTGAGTTGGGGCTACAGGCACGTGCCACCACGCCCGGCTAATTTTTTGTATTTTAGTCGGGATGGGGTTTCACCATGTTGGTCAGGATGGTCTCGATCTCCTGACCCTGTGATCCAACTGCCTCGGCCTCCCAAAGTGCTGGAATTACAGGCTTGAGCCACTGCGCCTGGCCCCGTAGGCCTCTTTTCATAGGAGCACTAATTCTAATCATGAGGGCTCCACCCTCATTACCTAGACCTAATCACCTCCCTAAACGCCACACCTTCTAATACCATCACCTTGGGGGTTAGGCTTCAATGTATGAATATTTGGGGGGACACATTCAGACCACAGCACCATTATCATCATATTTTTGCTCACTGCATTTAGTATCTATTTTTTTTTTTTGAAAGAGTCTTGCTCTGTCACCCAGGCTGGAGTGCAATGGCGTAGTTGGCTCACTGCAACCTCTGCTTCCCAGGTTCAAGAGATTCTCCTGCCTCAGTCTCCCGAGTTGCTGGGATTTCAGGCACGCGCCACCACACCCAGCTAATTTTTGTGTTTTTAGTAGAGACAGGGTTTCATCATGTTGGGCAGGCTGGTCTCAAACTCCTGACCTTAGGTGATCCACCCGCCTTGGCCTCCCTAAGTGCTGGGAATACGGGTGTGAGCCACCGTGCCCAACCTGTTGATGATTCTTACCTGCAAAAATTATTACTGTGATGTTTACCAAATGCTGATTTTCTGCTTCCATCTTCCTTCTACATGTATTCACTGGCATTCCACTGTAAGAAAGGGTTGTCAATTCTCCCCCATGTATTTATCCAATTTTTTAAATGTCATTATGGACTCTTGGATACTTATTTTATTCTATAAGCTATAACCCATAACTGTCATTATTGTGTTACTTAGCTTGTTCTGGATTTGGTCACTGGGAGCCCCTTCAAGTTGGTTATTGCATTCTTTTGACAAACATTAAATATTTTTTGAGCACTTTATTATTTTCTAGTACCACAAGATGTTCTAGATTCATCTTGTTCTTTCCCTGTGGCCCTTCAATCAGACATTCCTCTAAGGAGCCCTGGTTCCTTTTATTGGAGAATGATATTTAGAAACCGAGATCTGGAAGCTAGGTGTGCTCGTTACTAGTGGGATATCATTACCTCTAGGCTCCATTATCAGAGCTGGGAAATATACATACATCTATATCTCTTTATATATTTATCTATTAAAAACCAAGAGTATATACTGATACCTCCATGAGTATATACATGAGTATATACTGATACCTTCTCATCTAATGCCACAACATTCATTCTAGCCTTCCACCTTTCCTTATTTGTAACTTCCTTCCTGAACACCGAAAAACTTGGCTCTCATTATTCACAATATATTTAATTATTTGTCCAATCTTCACATATATATAAAAGAGTTTCAGAATTTCTAACCCATATACCTGTGAGAAATAGATTTGCTCATCAGAGAACAGACCCCTTAAGCAGCAATACCAACACAATGTGGTACAAGTTGTGATTTTTTTTTTTTCCGTCTTTAGCCTTTTTATTAGTCTGTTCTCACATTGCTATAGAGACTGGGTAATTTTTATAAAGAAAAGAGGTTTAATCAGCTCAAGGTTTTGCAGGCTGTGTAGGAAGCATAGTGGCTTCTGCTTCTGGGGAGATCCTCTGGAAGCTCACAATCATGGTGGAAGGCAAAGTTGGGGCTTGAATGTCACATGGCCAGAGCAGGAGCAAGAGAGAGCAAGGGGTGAGGTACTACACACTTTTTTTTTTTTTTTAGATGGAGTTCTGTCGCCAGGCTGGAGAGCAGTGGCATGATCTCAGCTCACTGCAACCTCCAACTCCCTGGTTCAAGCAATTCTCCTGCCTCAGCCTCCCAAATAGCTGGGATTACAGGGACGTACCACCACACCCAGATAATTTTTATATTTTTAGTAGAGACGGAGTTTCACCATGTTGGCCAGGATGGTCTCAGTCTCCTGACCTTGTGATCCGCCCACCTTGGCCTCCCAAAGTGCTGGGACTATAGACATGAGCCACTGCACCTGGTCAGTACTACACACTTTTAAATGACCAGATCTCATGAGAACTCACTCTCAAGAGGACAGTACCAAGAGGGATGGTGCAAAACCATTCATGAGAAATCTGCCCCTGTGATCCAATCACCTTCCAACAGGCCCCACCTCCAGCACTGAGGATTATATTTCAATATGATATTTGGTTGGGGTACATACTTATAGTATATAGTCAAAATATGGCTTTCTATGTTACTTGGTTGGTTCCTTTTGTCTTCTCCTTCCTCAGTACGGTTATATCATTCATTTGTAATAGAGTTAGGTTCATTTATTACTGTTCATATTCAGTTTTAGATTCCCATCACATCCTGATTGATGTAAACTTACCATTTTAGGGTGAGATGGGGATATGTGTAGCATTATCATGGTCCTCAAAGTAAGAACTGTACAAACAGCATACTCAGAGAATTGTCATTTCTCCCATCCCTTCTATCCTCACCCCCAATCTCCCATTCTTTCCAGACTATCCCTACCTATCCACTGTAGCTAACCAATCTCATCAGTTTCTTGTTTATCCTTCCTATACTTGTTTTTCTACACATGACAAGATACATGCATATTTTCTTATTTCTCTTTCTTTTTTACATGAAAGGTTAGCACACTATATTTTTCATGGTAGTATTTTTTAAAAGCATGGTAGAATTCTGTCCTTTAAAATTTGATAGAAGTCAAATTTTGTAACTACCTATGTAACTGCCAAGACATGAACTTTCAAGAGAGATGTTGTTTGATAATTTATACAATTCCATGGTTATTAGTCCAGTCAGGGTGTATCTCTTCTTAGGTCAATTTTTGGTAATTTATATCTTACCAGGAAAGTTAAGATATTGAGCAGAAGATGCAAATCTTTCTTTAGTTCAGAGAAAATTTCTTCTGCCATATATTTTATTTTCTCTTCTCTCTCCTTGTGGAATTACTGTTATACACATATTAAACCTCTATAGTTTAGCTATCACAAACCATCTTTTCTCTTCTGAATTCTAGGATAAATTTGCAAACTTGTGTTCCGGGTCACACATTCAGCTTTCTTCGGTTCCCAATCTTCTGCTCATTGTTTCCACTGAGGTTTAAATTTAGCAAGCTAAAAATGTTTCCTAATTTCGGTCTGTAATTTCTTAATGATTTTTTGTAATTTCAGTTTGTAATTTCTTAATCCACTACACTTGCAATTACAATATCCTCCCAAATATTATTAAAAACATAAAAGAGAAATATGTTTAAAATTTTTTTCCTCTTCTTCTTGTGGAAATTTCTTTTCAAAGGAAACTAATTTTCTCTTATCACGTCCCTTTCTGTTGAAAGTCTGAATCTTTTTGTTTTCATATGATTGGTTTTTCTCTCTTTGCTTATTTTTACCAGGCAGGTGTCTATATTTATTCTGGAATAGAATTTGAGGTGGTTCTGCTGATTATCATGAATAGTCAGTAAGCATTCAGTCAAATAAATAAGTGGAGAGAGGTATTTTAAGCAGAGGGGACAGAGAGAGAAAGGGCATGAAGATATAAAAGCCCAATGTCAGCCAGGCACAGTGGCTTGCACCTGTAATCCCAGCACTTTGGGTGGCTGAGGTGGGAGGATTTTTTTTTTTTTTTTTTTTTTTTGAGACGGAGTCTCGCTCTGTTGCCCAGGCTGGAGTGCAGTGGCCGTGATTTCGGCTCACTGCAAGCTCCAACTCCCGGGTCCACGCCATTCGCCTGCCTCAACCTCCGGAGTAGCTGGGACTACAGGCACCCGCCACCACGCCCAGCTAGTTTTTTGTATTTTTTTTTTTAGTAGAGACGGGGTTTCACCGTGTTAGCCAGGATGGTCTCAATCTCCTGACCTCATGATCCGCCCGTCTCGGCCTCCCAAAGTGCTGGGATTACAGGCTTGAGCCACCGCGCCCAGCCAGTGGGAGGATTGTTTAAGCCCAGGAGTTTGAGACCTGCCTGGGCAACACAGCAAGACTCCATATCGACCAAATAATAATAATAACAATAATAATAATAATGATAATAATTAGCTAGGCACACCTGAGGCAGGAGGATGGCTTGAGCCCAGGAGTTTGAGGTTGCAGTGAGCACTGATCATGCCACTGCACTGGTGACAGGAAGACCAACATGGATTTTCTTTTCTCACATATTTTATGTACTGGGATATAATTTACAAAGAGCAGAATATGTAACTTTTAAGTGAACATCTCAGTAACTTGTTCATATGCACACACCATTTAACCACCATCAAGATGAAAATACCACCCCAGAGAGTTCACTCATGTCCCCTTTCTGGTTAAATTGTTCCCTTCCCCCAAGATAACCATCATTATGACTCCTGTCACTGTAAGTTAGTTTACTTGTTCTTGAACTTCATATAAATGGAATCATGGACTATATTTTCTTTTGTGTCTGGCTTCTTTTGCTCAGCATAATTTTTGCGAGATCCACGTATGTTGACACATGCATCAGTCATTTATTTATTTATTTTTTTACTACTGAGTAGCATTTCAGTGTATGAATATCCCATAATTTAACAAAATTGCATTCTACTATTAATGACATTTGGGGTGTTTCCAGTTCGGGGCTATTATAAATAAAGTTGCTATAATCATTCATATACATGTTTCTGGGGGGATATATACATTCATTTATCTTGGATATATACCTAGGAGTGGCATTTCTGGGTCACAGGTAGATGTATATTTAACTTTATTAGATACTGGCAATCAGTTTCCCAAACTTGTTGTGCCATGTTACACTCCTACAAGCAATATATGAGTGTTTCGGTTGCTCCACATCCTCACCAACATTTGGTGTTTTCAGTATGAATTTTAGCTATTCTAATGACTGTAAAGTGGCAACTCATAGTTTAAATTTGCATTTTTCCCAAAGACTCATCATGTTAGCACCTTTTCCTGTGTTTATTGGCCATTCGCATATCTTTTTTTGTTGAAGTGTCTGTTCAAGTCTTTTGCCCATTTTAAAATTGGATTCTTTGTCTTTACTACTTTTGAGTTGTGGGAGTTCTTTATATATTCTGGCTATAAGTTACTAGAAACCTTACTATCCATTGGTGATGTCAACTGAGATAGGGAAGGCAGGAGAAGGAGTTTGGGAGAAGATGAAGAATTTATTTTAGGGCATGGAGTAATTAAAATGCTTTTGGATGGATTATCTAGACACGGATGTATAGAAAACACTTGGAATTACAGATCTGGAGCTCAAGAGAGAAGTCTGGGTGATACTTTGGGAGGGATCAGTATGATGGGAATGGATAACATTGCCCAGGGAGAAGAGAAGCAGCCTCATCTGAAACCTCAAACATTGTAATGTTTAAGGGATGACGAAGAAATGAAGCCAGAAGAAGAAAACAGAAATCATGGTGAGAGGTGGAGGAGAAGCCAAGGAGGGGATTTTCAAGAAGGAGTGGTGCCAAATGCTCTAGTGAGGTAAGAAAATGAAACCATTGGAGTTGACATTTGGGGTTTCCCTGGTGGTCTCTGTTCAGAGAATTGAGGAATACATGTAAGATGAGGAAGTAGAGACAGGGTTAGACTACTCTTTGAAAACGTTAGGCAGTGAAAGGAAGGAGAGTGATTTCAAAGAGCCATAGAGTTTAAAACAAAGCAACAAAGGAGTTGTAGAAAGAGGTACATAATCGGATGCTTAATGAGTGACAGAGGTACCTTTCAGAGTCTTTCAAGCAGCTTTGGGCAGGTGGGAAATGGAGGATGGATAGGTGTCAGGTGCTGATCAGATCTGACAGAACTCAGTGTTGACGGGGTGGCAGAACATGCGGCTCCATATCTGGGTCACAGCTGCAGGTGGAGAGGAGAATGCCTACTTCTGAGGGGATGTAGGATGGGAGAAAGTTAGCTTCCTGGGATGCTCAGCGCCCTGGGAGTAAGCACCAATGAGCCTCTCTTTTGCAGTTTTCCTCCATTTTCAGAAGCCAGGCATCCCATAATTTCTCTGACAGATTATTTACCTTTCCAAGTGCTCTCCTAATCCAACATTTCCATCTGGCACACACTGTGTCATTCTTGCTCCTGAATTCCTGGTTCCAGAACAGTTCTGCCATTTTCTTCCTTTGCACGATGTGTACCTTCAGTCTTCTCCTCTTCCTCCAATGTCCATATTTTTGTGGTGGAAAAGGTGCGGACAGGGGAGACAGGACACTAGAATCCTTATCAAGTCCTCTCTCAGTCCTTGGTGTCTCTGGTTCCTTCTCTGTGAAAGGGTGACGTGTTGGGGAGGGGTGGGGGATGAGGTAGGAGAGGGGGTCTGAGTTCCTTCCCACTTCTAACGATGGCTGGAACCAGGCCTCTGTGTTCAACCAAGGGTACTTTCTGTTTCTGTCCATTTGGGGAAGTTGCTTTTTCTTGGTATTTCGGGAGTCAGGAAAACAAGTCATTGGTGTTCATATTTCTCAAAGCCTCAGGTAGGGTTGCGGCTTTTGGCCAGCAATAACGTATGACCATGACCTTGTGGCCGAGTTTGCACGCCTCTAACAGATATTACGACACAGAGTTCCATTCAATAGTGGAAGTGGAGATTTCAGCGTTGCCCTTTGTTAACCCTCAAATGAAGTGCTACTCTTCCATCGCGAGGGCTGTCCAAGCAGTAGCCAACCTTCTTATCCCTATTTTGTAAACGAGGGAAAGGAGGCATAGGAAAAGCAGAGCCTCGTGGGATTCCCTGAGGAGTCCTTCCAACTCTTGGTAGAGCATCATCTGCAACGTCGTCTGGGGGAGAAAAAGGGGAGGCAAGAAGAGGGCCTTGACCCAGGAGGCAGGAACTCCGGCACACCCCCATTCCCTTCCCCAGGGGCTGGGGAGACCACTCAGGTGACAGTAGCCCTGGTGCCGGCCAGGGGGGGCAGGAAGTCCAGCCAGAGGCTGGAGCAGCAGTGCTGAACTCCAGGACTGGCTGGTATTTCTATGAAGGTTCCTGCAGGAGGATGCGGGTCAAGGTGCTCGTCTGCACAGCAGGAATGCAGGCATTTTAAGGGTTAAGGGCACTCAAAGAAAATAGAAGTAGGTGGCTCACGCCTGTAATTCCAGAACTTTGGGAGGCCGAGGTGGGCAGATCACGAGGTCAAGAGATCCACACCATACTGGCCAACATGGTGACACCCCGTCTCTAGTAAAAATACAAAAAATTGGGCGAGGTGGCGTGCGCCTGTAATGCCAGCTACTCAGGAGGCTAAGGCAGGAGCATTGCTTGAACCCGGGAGGCGGAGGTTGCGGTGAGCCAAGATCGTGCCACTGCACTCCAGCCCGGGCGACAGAGCGAGACTCCATCTCAAAAAAAAAAAAAAAAAGAAAAAGAAAATAGAAGTAGGAAGAGGAAGTGGGTCCTAGTGAGAGAAGGAAGCAGCTCGTCGGAACTTCCTCTTTCTCGTCTTTCCCCGAAGCCCCCACCCCAGACCTGCCCCCGGCTCCGCTCAGCCCTCCTGCCGGGCCAAAGCCGCGCTTCTGACGCGGGGGCCTAACCTCCCCTTACTCCTAGGGGGTCGCTGGTGCTCCGCGCTGGCGCCACGGCCGTGCACCGGCCAGGGTCTGCTTCCGCGGGGTGGCGGGTCAGAGCCGGGGCTGCTTCTCAGACGCTTTGCGGACTCGGGGGCGTGACCCAGAGGATGCGGGGCCAGGCGCGCACCTGGCTGACGCGGCCCCGCCACCAGGTGGCTGGAGAGGCCGGCTCCGAGGTCAGCCCCGCCCCACAAGGCCCCGCCCCCTGACAGGCCCCGCCCCCCGCCCTCCGGAGGAGCTCAGGCTGGGCAGATGCTGCGGCTCGCCGCGCGGCTCCAGCTGGGGCGCGGTGGTCCCGAGGGTCACCCGAATCGTAGGGAGTCGCCGCTGGACAGGGGCTCGGCGCCCGGCAGGGACTGCAGGTGTGTGACTGGGCAGCCAGGGTGGGTGCGGAGGGCACGCGTGGGAGCTCCAGGCAGACCTGGAGCAAGCTGGGGACAGTCGGGGAGAGTGGGCTCCGCGAGCAGCCGCCGCAGCCCGGGGGCTGGACAGATCCTGCTGTCTTCCGGCCCCGTGGACCGGGCCCACCGCGGGGGCAGCAGGTCTGCAAACCTGCACTCCAGATAGCCACAGAGACTTAAGGGGCGGCGCGCTGACCACTCATCGTTATCCGGGTAACCTCTGCTGGGCGCTTCTGTGCAGCTGTGTCCTCAGCCTCCTGCCTCCAACACAGGTCGCCCTGTGTCGTGGGGTCAGGGACCCTGTCCGCCCCGGTGGGGAACTGTCCGTGAGCGTGGGCATCAGGGCTCCTGTGCCGTCAGAACCTGGGAGTCATGGAAATGCCCGCGTAAGGCGCCCTCCGTCGAGCCTCACTCAGCCTGCTAGTTAGCCCGTGTTGGCTCCAGACGCGGCTGCTGTCCTAGAGAACTGCACGCTTTCTGCTCTCAGAGGTTCTGTGTTTACACACTGGGCATCCCCGCGTGACTGTGTGTGTGCGCGTGCATGCGCGTGTACGCGTGCTGGCCCATCCCGGCCTGGGGTAAATACACAAAAAGTTCAGGTCAGTAAGAGGAAGGAGATTGTTCAGAAGGAAAAGGAAGGCGAGATTAAAGCAGCAGGATGTGGTATAAAGCGAGTTAACAAGACTCCGAGTAGAGAGGAGGGGTGGGTTTAGGCAGAATGAGGGCTAAAAGTAGGCCAAGCCTGCCTCCAAAGTCCTCTCTGGACTGACACCCTCGTTTTCCTTCCGTGTCTTCTCATCCACCCCACACTTTCCTTCCTGCCCTCAGGACCACCTCTAAGGCACTGGCTCCCAGAACTGACTGCAGGTTGGACTCTCTTCCAAGCAGTCCTACAACATGGCTTTCCAGGGATGGGATCTGGAATCTGTATTTTTCGAAAATTTTAATGAGCTCCTTAAGTGGTGATGCTGAAGCCATTGCTTGGGAACCATGCATGATGTGGAAAAGAGATCCAAGTTCCAACCAGATCCAGCTGTGTGACCTGCAGCATCACACTGTCCCCCAACCCAGCCTCAGTCTCCTTATCTGTAAAATGGGCTCTCATATTGACCCATAGAGCTGTGTGGAATTATTATTATTATTATTGACATAGGGTCTTGCTCTGTCACTCAGGCTGGAGTGCAGTAGCATGATCATGGCTCACTGCAGCCTTAAACCCCCAGGCTCAAGCAATCCTCCACCTCCGCCTCCCAAGTAGCTGGGATTACAGGTCAGCACCACCATGCCCAGCTAATTTTTGTATTTTTTGTAGAGGCAGGGTTTTGCCATGTTGCCCAGGCTGGTTTCAAATTCCTTGAGCTCAAGCGATCCGTCTACCTTGGCCTTCCAAAGTGCTGGGATTATAGGCATGAGCCTCTGTGCCCAGCCCAGTGTGGAAAATTAAGTGAGGCGTGTATGATGAGAATGGCTGCATGTGGGAGATGCTCTGTGGATGTTTGTAGAACGCTGGATTCCGTGTTTCCTCAGTATGGCTGCGGGGGTGTGGGTCTTCACCAGGGGATCCATGGAAGACAAAGAAGACAGTTTTGGATGGTGGAGCTGTCTTCCTGCTTCAGGGCTCCCTCCCCTGCTTTTTGAAGCCTTACAAGCCAGGACTGTGGGGGCAGGAAGGCTTGGGGTCTTTGTGTGCTGAGCCTCACTGGGGTTTTAAGAACCTCCCTCCTTTCATTTCTAGCTTAGAAAAGGGATGATTCATTATCTTCCCTCCTCAGGCTGGAGTAGAAGCAGACAATCTCTGCCTCCCTGCTTGTCTTTCTTCCCTCCCATTCACTGTTTATTGTTGCCCTCAAGAATAACAGGTTGCCCAGCTACTTGGGAAGCTTAAGTGGGAGGATTGCTTGAGCCCCGGAGTTCAAGGCTGCAGTGAGCTATGATCGCTTCACTGCACTATAGCCTGGAAGACACAGAGAGACTCTGTCTCAAACAAACAAACAAAAAACAAGCAAACAAAAAAAGAAGAATAGGTTGGACGCTAGTGGCAGTGGGTGACAAGAGCATTAGGGGTTGATGTTGGCATGAGGATGAGAAGGCCGGGGTGCAAACTGCTCCATACCCCTGTGTTAGCCATCCATCAGGGGCCTGCTGGCTGAGGAGTGGGAGAGGAGGAGAGCCAGGAGCCTTTTTGCCTGGGTAGTCTAGAGTTTGGAAGCCCCAGCTTGGGTTCCGCTGAGCACTCAAGCTGTGCTGACTTGGCCTTTCTTCAAAGACGCTCATCCCAAGGGACTGAGCTGGCTGGCCCCGTGGGACCTCTGAGAACCAGAACACCTGTTTGGCCTCAGCTGGTGAGCTAAAAGCCTGAACCAATGTATTAAGAAAGAAAGCTGGCCAGGCGTCATGGTTCACACCTGTAATCCCAGCACTTTGGGAAGCCAAGGCTTTGAGGCCAGGAGTTCAAGGCTGCAGTGAGCTATGATCGTGTCACTGCATTCTAGCCTGGGCGATAGAGTGAGACCCTGTCTTTAAAAAAAAAACAAAAAATAAAATTTAAAAAACAGAGAAAGCTCCTGGAAGAACAAGATAGAGTGATCCTTAGCAAGTCAAGGGAGAGGTGTTTAATTTGATTTTTGAGCCTCAGATATAGGTGGGGTGGGAAGAGAGAAAGGAAAGAGTACATCTGACTTCTGCCCAAAGGGAAGATGATACCTTCCCGTAGCAAACATGTATTACATAGTAGGATATTTCATCCATTTGAAGATGTACATATTTTCACATTTTGGCAACACTGAAATCAAGGAGCATGTTACCGTTTATGGCATCTTCCAATTATAATAGGCAACACTATTTCTTCCTTATTGCCACACAAAATAATGGTGCATCTTACAATTGATGGCATCTTAGATTCTGTTAAATACAATGTATTTTTCACAGATTTGGGGGTATGTGTTAGCGATACACAGGTTCACATAGAATTATGTTGTTCTCATAGCTTTCATACATAAATTTTTCTAGTAGCTCTCTACTCAAAGTATCAGAACTTTTCAACGTATTCTGTTTTAAAATATATCTTTGTAAAGTATGTTGCTTTCATTTATAAATGTGGCTCGTCGGATATGATTGAATAATTTCTTGAAATTTTCATCAAATGGTTCTGGACGGCCATTCTCTTTTGTACCCTGTGTCTTTTTGTACATTTGTGCTTCTTTCTCTTTCATCCTTCTCTTCATCCTTTTCTCCTTTGGCTATGACTTCATGGTGTTGGGTACTGTGCTAAGTATGTCATGTCCTTTCATCTTCACAGTCACACTCTGAGGTAGCTACAATTAATGCCCCCATTTTACCTATGAGAAAACCGAGGACCAAGGCCACACATGTAGGAGGTGCCAGAGCTGGGCTGACTCTAGCGTCTGCTCTTAACCAGAGTTGGCCAAGCCAAGTGATGGCTTAGGTGTTCCTGTGGGTGTCAAGCACATACCCTATACAACACAATTTTGGGGGCATGAATTGTGGCCACCAGGTGCTTTTGTTTGTTTGCTTACTTCTAGGATAGTAGCTAGATTTTGGATAGTTGAGGTTATTGGTTAAGTGACTTCCACATAAGTGAGTCACAGCTATAACAAGTTACACCCAAAAGGGGGTTGGAGGCTGATGAATGGGAAGAAATGGATGACTTTCATGGCACAGAGAAGATCTTGGGTCCTTCTTGAGTCTTCTGAGTCTATCCAGTGGTATGCTAGACTTCGGGTCCTAGAGTTTGGCATCCATGGGAGACGGCTGCTTCCATGGGAGCTTCTCTCATGCTGCCATGATGATGTAAGATAACACATCTGCGTGAGTCACTTTTCTTTTTTATTTCTTTATTGTTATTATTTTTTAGACAGAGTTTTGCTCTTGTCACCCAGGCTAGAGTGCAGTGGCGCAATCTCAGCTCACTACAACCTCCGCGTCCTGGGTTCAAGCGATTCTCCTGCCTCAGCCTCCCGAGTAGCTGGAGTTACAGGCGCCTGCCACCACGCCCAGCTAATTTTTGTATTTTTAGTAGAGATGAGGTTTCGCCATGTTGGCCAGGCTGGTCTCGAACTCCTGACCTCAGGTGATCTGCCCGCCTTTGCCTCCCAAAGTGCTGGGATTACAGGCATGAGCCACTGCACCCAGCCTGCGTGTGTCACTCTTCAGCTGAAAAAGCTGCAGAGCTGCATGACTTTCCAGAGATGGTCCACACCCACCAACCATCCCAGGTCCACCCCTCCTGCTTCCTCTCCCGTAGCCTGAGCAGATCTCTGCACCTTTGTGTGTACTGTTGCTTCTCCCCAGATTGCCCTTCCCCGCCTCTGCCTGCCTGGTGAACTGCCAGTTCCTCCTACAAGCTCCGCTCAAGCCTCATCTTCTGATGCTCTTCCTTTGCCCCTCAGCACTAACCATCCCCTTCTTCATTGTGCTTTCTATGTTTTCGCACCATAGCGCTGACCGCCCAGGCCTACAGGGCGACCAGTGACCCGGCACAGCTATGGCCTGCTCACCCTAGCCACCTGATGTTCAGCATGGCATCAAGCTGTCATCCTGAAACTCCCTGGGATCTCATAGGCAAGGTGCCCAGGCACAGCAACGGCAGAAGTTGCCAGATCACAGGATGGGGTGGGGGGCTGGAGGTGGGGCCCGGAGGGAGTGGTGTGCTTTTCATTTTCATGTCCTCGGGAGTCTTGTTGTTGTTGACCTAGGCAAATGAGCTTGTGTGGTTTCCTTGTTAGGGGGCAGGGCTGGGGTGTGAAGGCTGAAGGTGGCCTCACATGGAGCCAGGGGGCCCAGTTTCTGCCTAGCTCCCCCACTCCTAGCCACGTGATCTTTGCTAAGTCCATCTACCTCTCTGCGTGTCCGTTTCCCCATCTGTAGGATGGAAATCTGGCACTCAATACTTTATGTGGCCCCTGCCTAATCGCTAACATTTCACTTGTTCATTCAACACT